CCAATTTTTAACACTATAATTACAGATATCTGCCATCTAGTGGTTACAAACAGACATTTTTAGTGTCCAGCTCCAGCCATGTGTGCTGTAATATAAGTTGTTTCTTCAGAAAGACATACATCATGCAAATGCTGCATAGTGAATGTCACCCTAGAACCTTGTAGCTAGGATTATAGAAATAATGAAGTCATGCATCTACAAGTACCCGTGGAGGGAAACTATTTGGAGGTATGCAGCAGAAACAGTTTAAGATACAAATCACAGGAAATGACTGGAGGAAGTATTCAAGAGGTTTATTAAGGTAACACTAATAATAGAAAAAAAAAAAGACCTCAACAGAAGTGCACTAAAAGATGCTCTAAAATTATGTTCGCATATGTGCATCTATCATCTTCATTGTATCAGCTGAAGTATCAAAAGTAAAAACTGAAGTGAAAGGCTACAAGACATGCATAATATTATCATTCATATGTCATGGCTTTAGCTGGAGGGAGTAAATTAATGTTTCCATGTATTGATGTTCAAGGCCTTTACAGCCAGTCTGGTTGTTGTTCACTCAATTAATAAGTTTAGTGCCTCATTTGTAAAACACTCATCTTCATGCACTAAATTTCTTGTAACCTAAAAAATAACTGCATACAACACTGCGCTAGAAAACCTTGTAAATAAGGTTTTTTTTAAGGTGGGTGAAAACTTGCAAATTCTTCAAAACATACTTAACTAGAAGTACATGGTTAGATTTAACCACTGTCTCATGTTTGCAGTTTGCATGTATGCACCTAAACCTTTAGGTCATAGGCTCTTTATGTCACGGTCTGGCTGGCAGACCATGGGGATATGGGGGAATGAGGACCCAAAACGCATGGTTCTGCGATGCAAACAGTGCACTTTATTTACAGTGAAGGCTGTAAACACAATAACTCCCCGTTGCTCCCTTGAATCCCGTGTGTGTGTGATCCCCTCCGACGTCTGTGCTCGTGCTCCCCGCTGTTGTGTTCTCGCACACCCTGTGTGTGCTGCCGTTCTGGTCCACTCTTCCACCTGGGGGGAAAACCACAAAAACAGCCATCAACGCCAACCCCGGCGGGCATACACGAACTGCACCGTCGTACGCTGAGACACACTAACTTGGGTAGACAACTCAATGATCCCACGCTGGTGGGAGCTCCAACACTCTCCTAAGTAGCTCCCCCGACGAGCCCTGATCACCAACAGGTGTGTGGCAGGAACTTCAGGTGTGGCCAGTCCTCCTGCAGGGCCACACCCATCAGGCCTGCATGTGGCTGTTCTCCATCCTCCAGCCACACATGTACACACCCACACCCTGCCTATACATATAATGAGTGGAACACAGACTAACACAGCATTGTGCAGAAAGACACACACATCACCAAATAATAACAACAACAATAATAATAATAATCATAATAATAATAACAACAACAGTCAAAACTGCTCACGGACCCCCGAGTCCTCCAGAGCCGGGTCTGTGACACTTTATTTTGGTAACCTGTTTTGGTGTCAACTTCTGTCAGTTCAACTGGTTCAAAGCACCCTCTCTGTGTGTCTATCAATAAAACAACAGAAGAGAAGTGAAACAGCAGAATCAGGTTATAAAATACACATTTTGGGGCGATCGTGGCTCAAGAGTTGGGAGTTCGCCTTGTAATTGGAAGGTTGCCGGTTCGAGCCCCGCCTTGGACAGTTTCGGTCATTGTGTCCTTGGGCAAGACTCTTCACCCGTTGCCTACTGGTGGTGGTCAGAGGGCCCGGTGGCGCCAGTGTCCGGCAGCCTCGCCTCTGTCAGTGCGCCCCAGGGTGGCTATGGCTACAATGTAGCTTGTCATCACCAGTGTGTGAATGGGTGGATGACTGGATGTGTAAAGCGCTTTGGGGTCCTTAGGGACTAGTAAAGCGCTATACAAATACAGGCCATTTACCATTTTTATATAGCAGCAACAACATTAAAACCACTGACAGGTGAAATGTATTGACCCTGCCTTTTCAATATAACGTTCTACCCCCTCTTCTGCCTTCAGTGCGTGAAGGCAGAAGAGGGGGTAGAACTCCAAAACCCAGATTTCAATTTGAACAAGCTTGATTCATCGAAGCCCAGCCCTGCTGTGGATACTTTGTGTCCTGTGGGCTGCAGGGCTGGGCTTCGATGAATCAAGCAGGACACAAAGTTTCCTCTCCCAAACACGCAGGTCCAATGGGACAGAGCTGTGTTGGCAGCTTGAGTAGGACCTACAAAACAATAAGCAGGTGATATTAATGTTGTGGATAAAGTGCCAAGTATAGGTTTTAAACTGTGGGATTTAAATGTCTACTGGTTTCAAACTCTCACATTTGAACACTGGGGATAAAAAAAAACATACAACTAAATGTTACTGTGAATTGAATCAGTATCAGGATCACAATAGTTATTTCCCATGGCAACATCTGCATGCAAACTGGACGTTGGGGATGGTTGGTATGTTTTGGACATTAATGTTATTGTTTAACAAGTTTCCACAGAGAGGGGCTTTTTTTTTTTGGTGTGTCCAAGATGGGCGTGGCATGCCACAGTGAATATTTGGTACTCCCCCGAACTCACACCACAGAACGCCCATGCCAGGAATGACTTGAGCAACTTTAAAACCAAAAGCATGCAGGATTATTTCAGTGAGAAAAATGTTGCGACAAATTTCATTATATATTAGATAATTATATTAGACATTACTACATTATATTAGAAAGTCTGTGTTAGAAAACTAGACATGACACATACAGTGGTGTCACCGATCAGCGTCTGGTAAGATCGAAGAGTAATTCATCTAGACAAATGATGATTTTCTTTTCTTTTAGGCAACATGATAAACATAGAGCCTGCAGGAGGCACTAAATACAAGGAAATTCACTGAAAAAGCAGCAGTCTCGGAATCTCAGCTGTGAGTCACATGGGCGTGGTGCTTCTGTAAACCAAGTGGTGCAAACTTTAGCTACACACACACACACACCACACACGCGCGTGCGCACACACTTAAGACTCATCACATAGTCACATAGCAACTTCAGTGTTTCCCCAGTATCCATGAACACTGACAAACCAGTAGTTAAGCCCTGCCCAAAGCAGTGTTTGCCAAGAGCTCAAGAAGACCTCTTCCTCCTGGGTTTAACCTTTCAGGCAGGCTTTTCTCAGGCAGTAAAAGCTTTGATGACTTCACTGGGATCGGCAGGCCATCATAGTAAACAGTGGCTCACAGTCTATCTGCACAACTACCAATAACAGATGTGATTGCTGGAGCATGCCTGAGAGGTAGGGCTGCCTGGAAGACTTCGTTTTAGAGCAAAGATATTTGTTCTGTTCAGTAAGAATAATGAGAGACGGGTGGTGAAGGGGTTATCTTGTTCCTCTCTCTCTTTCTCTGGTGTTATTCAACTTTCACCAGACATGAAACACGGTGGGATTTTTGTGATCTGCACAAGAACAGTGATGTGCTGTTCTTGTGAGTCAGTTGAGGGCTTGCAAAATACAAATCAAACTGACTAGGCAATGTTATCACCCATTTTATTCATTTGTTGCAACATCCTCTGAGAGTTTATGTCTGACTGATAGAGGTGTGTTCATGCCTACAACATTCAGCAGATTCCTCAGAGCAGTGATAAAGCAGGGACTTTGTCAGGGAGGGAGTGGCTCATCTGCCCTTTAACACTCGGGGAAACATAAAGTACTTACTCAGTTACAAAGCCAACAGAGAAAGCTGTCTGGATTAAGCTTTACCAGCTTCTCAAATGGAAATGGTTCTGGTGCTTGCTTAAAAAAAACACATGTATAAAAAGTTGAAGGGGATCTATCGGCAAATCTGTCTAACTTAAAGATTAGATAGTTAGGAAACACAAGACACAAGAGGTTTAAAATGATTCAGCCCTTTTAATGAACAAAACTTTACAAAAAAAGCAAAAGAAAACAAAAAGCAATGCTTTTTGGTCGCTTCTCTTCCACTGTTGTACTTCCTACTTCTTTCCAGCCTTTTTCATTTCCAGCTGATAGCACTGCTCACAGGCAACAGACAGTCCAACAACCAGAGAAACAAACTCCTCAAAGTTCACAAGACCATCACCGTTGGCGTCCAAGTCTTTCATGATCTTGTCTACAGCAGCAGGATCTTTTTGACACTGTGTTTAAAAAAAAGGGTGTGTGAGGATACATCAGCAACAGTGAGATTGCACAAGAGGTGGCATAGTATTGGATTACAGTGTGTAAATGATGCGCAGCGTGATTGTACATTTACGTTTTGGTCTCATCTCACCTTAAGGAAGCTGGAAAGCTCAGCCTCCATTAGCTGTCTGAGGTTTTGCCGGGTGAGCGAACCGTCCTTGGCGTAACGGTGGAACACCTTGATGAGTCCTTCCATGCAGTTTTCCAGTTCTGAAGGCATGTTTGCTGGAATGTGTTTAGACTGAAAAACAATGTTCAGAAAATGTTGACTATGACAACTGATAGCAAGTCAGTTTAACTTCAGCTGACATTTTCCAAACAAGTTCATAGAAAGCATTTATGAAAGCTGCTTTGGTTGAGATGCTGTTAAACTCATTCATTATTGATGGAACTGACACATTTGGGTCTTTGTTTTACTTCCCACTGATGAGTGATGCTCGTGGGAAGACAGTAAAGGTATGTCACAGTAAACCACTGTGCAAAATACAGAAAATCTGAACATTTGAGTTACTGTCTTTGTAGCTGTAAGAGTTAAAAGAAAGGAGAAGTAGGAGGGAGGGTGTGTTATGTGTGCGCAAGAGAATGGAAAATGTGAACAACGTTAGACCCAAAATGGTGGGATTCAATGTGAGATAGGACACTGCAGGAACAAGCACATGTGTGTACATGCCCACAGTCCAACCACACCCTTACAAAGGCTTATATTGATTATATGGAGACCTAGTTAACGGTCTTAAATGTGAATCAGAGCTTAATGTAAAAAAAGTTAATTATATATTTTATTAATAAAAATAATCATAACACTGGAAAAACAATTAAAGTGTAATTAATGTGAAAGATTGAAAACAAGAGAAAGAAACAAGATAAACTAAAAGTTGGAGCCTAACTTAGTTAACAGCAGAGGAAATACAAGGACCCGTTAGATACCGTTAGAAATTCACAAAGAGGGAGCTTCAGTAAATACAAAGCAGTGACTGGGAG